GAAAATGCTGGGCTTCTTGATCACACAGAGGGGCATCGAGGTAGATCCTTCCAAAATCAAGGCCATCCAAGAAATGCCACCACCAAGGACTGAAAAGGCGATGCGAGGCTTTCTAGGTAAAGTACAATTCATAAGACAGTTTATTTCTAAATTAACCTTGACTTGTGAATCACTATTTGGTCTCCTGAAGAAAGGAAAGAAATTCCAATGGGATAATCGATGCAAATTCGCTTTTGAGTCGGTTAAGAAGTACCCTCAGAATCTGCTTGTGTTGTCGCCGCTAGAGCCGGGAAAGCCTTTGATTTTGTATCTGTCAGTCACAGACACCACAATAGGATGCATGCTTACTCAAGAATCTGAGGATAGGGTGGAGAAAGCCATCAAATACTTGAGTAAGAAAATGTTGGATTATGAGACCCGCTACACTCCGTTGGAGAAAGCTTACTTAGCCTTTGTATGGGCTACCAGGAAGTTGAGGCACTACTTGTTAGCTCACTCCATAATTCTGGTTTTGAGATTAGATCCTATTAAATATCTCTTTGAGAAACCAGCGCTTACGAGTAGGCTAGCCTGTTGGTTGTTTCTTCTCTCCGAATTCGATTTTAAGTATGTCACCTGCAAGTCGGTCAAGGGGAAAACTGTAGCAGAGTTTTTGGCAGATCACCCAGTAGAGGAGATGAAGCCATAGAATACCTATTCCCAGATGAAGCCATTCTACAAGTTGAGGAGGAGACTTGGACAATTTACTTTGATAGAGCATCCAATCAATATGGTTATGGGATAGGTGTGTTGCTGATAGCACTCGACAATTTCCATATACCTTTTGCCTTCAAATTCCTGTTCAAGGTCTCCAACAATGAAGCAGAGTATGAAGCGTATATCGCTGGTTTGGAAGCCGCCCTGGAACTAGGGACAAAAAGGTTGGATGTTATCGGGGACTTAAACCTAGTTGTTTCTGAAGTGAATGGAGGCTAGAAGATCAAAGGAGAAAAGATGAAGGCTTATCATCAGACCCTGGACGTTCTGATTCCTAGGTTTGAAAAGCTGACTTTCACGCATCTACTAAGAAATAACAATAGGTTTGCTGATGCCTTATCAACTCTATAATCTAGGATAGACATCCCGCTTGGAGTCTGGATACGTTCGATCATCATTGAACAGAGATACATGCCAGCTTATGAGACCATCACTGCAATCAATGAGATGCAAAACAAAAACCCTTGGTACTACGATATCTGGAACTTCTTGGAAAAGAATACTTATCCACTAGGGGCAAATGCCAAGGACAAAAGGGGAACACAGCGGATGGCCATTCAATTTATCATCTGCGGAGGTAAGCTGTACAACAGAGGTCATCTGGGAATGCACAAGTTGTGTATCGAAGAAGAGGAGTCAAAGCGCCTGGTGGAGGCCATCCATGAAGGGGAGTGCAAAGTGCACATGAACGAAGTAATGTTAGCTTGGAAGATTCTCAAGCAAGGTCTACTATGGAGAAGGATTTTATTGGTTTTGTTTGACGATACCACAAATCCCAAATTCATGCTGATCACATGAACATCCTGACGTTAAAACTGTACAACATGACTTCACCATGGCCTTTCTCAGCCTGGGGAATCGATGTCATGGGCGCAGTCACACTAAAAGGGTTGAATAGGCATGACAATTGATTACTTCACAAAGTGGGTGAAGGCCTAGTCATACGTAGTGTTGAAAGTAGCGCATGTGGCTAAGTTCATTAGAAATAACATCATTTGCCGATATGGAGTCCCAAACGAGATCATTTCAGATAATGACTCCCACTTCAAGGAAGAAGTGATAGACTTGTTAAAGAATACAACATGGCTTTTCATAAGTCATCTACATATTAGCCGCAAACCAACGGAGCTGTTAAGGCTGCCAACAAGAACATCAAGAATATTTTGCAGAAGATGGTTGAGACCTACATGGACTGGCCAAATAAATTTTCATTCGCACTTTGGGGTTATAGAACTTCAATCTGGACGTCTATAGGGGCAACTACTTATTTTCTCGTCTATGGGATGGAAGCTGTTTTGCCAATCGAAATATAAGTCCCATCGCTGCGAGTTATGGCTGAGTGTCAAATAGCAGAGGTGGACTGGTAGCAGAGCAAGTTTAAGGAGTTGATGCTGTTCAATGAGAAAAGGAAGCATTGTATCATGTTCAGGGCTACCAGCGCAGGATTGCTAGGGTTTTTAACAAGAAGGTTAAGTCCCGGAATCTCAAAGAGGGGGATTTGGTAGGGGCAAGTTCAAACCCAATTGGACTATCTGGTCGGGTGAAGCTGTTATTCTCATGGACTTGGATGGCCTGGAATTTTCCCAACCAATCAACATAGACAAGTTGAAGAAATACTATCCTTGAGAGGCTCGCTAGGCCGAAAACCAGAAGGGCGACCTAGGCAAAAGTTAGAGCATGAAAAATTAGAAATAAAGAAAAACTGAACTCACAAGGTTGAAAACCCTAAAAGGCAGCCTTAGCAAAAGTTAGAGCACAAAAGGAGAAAGTTAATACTCGAGTGAACCTGAATCAAACTACGTATGACCTGATTCATATCTTTAGATATGTAGGCAACTTCATCCTGAAGGCCAACCGTAAGCATCTCTAAATCAACTGTCCTGTCCATGTGTCTGATCAGGTCATCTTTGTCTATTCTTCACCTAAGAGTTCGATTGTGATCTCTGCTTTGAGAGAAGAGCTGGTTATAATGCTATGCAGTGGTGTTCAATCAAGGGGCAGTTACGATCTTTTGATTCGGGGTTTTACATCTTGTGAATTGATTCCGTGTGTGTCAAGTGGTGATCCTTTTCGAAAATGATTTTGGAAAGTTTTAATAAAAGTTGATTTTGTTCAAATTTTACCTTTTACAATTTAGACCATTTTTTGACCAAAAGGGAAAATTTTCAGTGCTCACAACTTTAATTTCATTGATTTCAACTTAAAGTTCTCCAACTCTCTAATACAAATTAAAGTTGCTTTTATTACATAGAAAAAACTTGGAAAGAAAGGTCAAAGCAATAAAATAGGGGCATAGATGAATCAGGTGCTCCTGCGTCCCCTGCTCGTGCTTATGGAAGCTTCTGAAGCTAAAGTGAGTCCGGTTTGTGCCTCATTCTCGTGCCAGGCCAAACACTCGCTAGAAAGGGCGCAACTGAAACTAGGGGTAGGGGCCAGAAGCTCTCTCGTCCTCTAAGCAGTGAGGTACCTGGCCAAGTGTGAACCTCGGATGGGAAATGAAACTGAGTACTCTACCCACTCCTTTGGGTAGGTCTGATGATGCCCAAACTAATGTCTGAACCAGAACGGGAAGTAGAATACAAAGTGTGTCAGGCCGATTAACTGAATGCCTGGTTGTCAAGCCATGCTGTAGCTCATATCGGTCAGATTAAGCCAAGGACAGTGCCAAGCTATGTCAGCAGCACACCTGTTGCACATCCAGTCGCACCACCACCCCTCGTTCGGGAAATCCATTAGTTGATGGTCGAATAAATAACCACGAGCTGAGTATTCAGGGCAAGAGTCCACTACCTTCAGCTTATCCATAAGCCACACCTGGAAAGGGATGAAGGAAAAGAGAGATTAAATAATAGAGAGATGTGTGTTGAGAGAAAAGTAAGAAAAGGGCTTTGAGAGAAAAACAGAGCATGAGTGCTGAGTGATGTGAGAAACGCATATGAGAAAGGATGGGAAACATTGCCTAAAGAAGTAGTGGACTCCCTGCGAATCTAGTAGTCTTCCGCCGATGAAAGGCGTCTAAGCCCATCAAGGTCTTAGCCAGTGCCAAGCCAATGCAACTCTTGCCTTCTTTCAAACCTTGGGCCACTTCAATCAATCGGACGTTGGATCTGCCAAAACTAGGGGCAAGAAGGAAATGAGTAAGCATACATAAGCAGAGGGCATGCTGCCGAAAACCTTACTAGAGAAGGTTACCACAGTCACCAACGTCAAAAAATCGATGAATCAAACTAGGAATGCCCAGTTCTCTGTTATGGGCCAGAGATCGAGCCTCGTGTAGAATAAGCCCACACATCCGTCCCAAAGTTTGGACGTGGCCAAAACAGGGCTGAGGTATGATTTCTTCATCGCGCTGGGATTCCATTAGTGCCTGAAATTCTTTAATTATCGGGCATATTTCTTGTCCCCTGAAGCTAAAGACATGGGTAATCGGGTCCCAGCATTTAGCCCCAGCATGAAGGAACAAAAAACAAAGTTGAGTTCGGCTCAACAGAAAAAGTTCATTTATGTCGAAACCCTAGAAATTCACCTTTTTTGAGCCGTCCAAAGTCATAATCTAGTCCGAGTGCTTTTCGGAGAAAAATGATTCCATTTGTAAAGAATTTGCAACTGGAATGAAGTTTTGGAGAAGAATTCACGAAGTTCAACCTTTCTGTAGAAGATAAGGCAATGGGTGGAAGCTAGCTATCAACAATCTAGAGGTTCTTTACATTGATGGCTGGCAGGTGGCTGGTAGGCTACCTTGGTGGCTGGCATATGGCTGACAAGCTCCTTTTCTGGCCGGCAGCCTTCTTTTCAGCCCTGTTATCCACCTTTGTGCTGAACAATGCTGAAAGCATGTGTTTTGTTATGCTCTTTGTGTGTTTGAAGGTCTTGTTTTGAGTCTTTTTTGGTTTTAGCAAGTTTGTTGAGTGGTATTTGAGTTGTTTTGTTTTGTTTATCAAGTTGTATTTTGCATTTTGTATCTTGGTTGTTGGTCAGTTCATTACCCAATTAAGAATTTTGTTTCAATCAAGCGCTCTTGGCCATTTCAATTCTATGTCCATTTCATGCAATATGGTGCTCATGATGCAAAAATGACAGCACACTTTTCATAAAAACTACGAGGTTTTATTTCGATCATGGTTTTTTTTACAAAAAGGAGTACAAGTTTAAAAACAAAAAAACCTTTCTGAAGCTATACAATTTGCTAATGCTACTAACAAAAAGAAACTAAGCCAAAAGTACAAAAATCAGCGCTAGTAGCCTCAGGTCCGAGTGGCCCTCTTCATCCTTTTCCTCTGAGGAGAGGACTCCGGGGCACTATCTCCATCAGCGCCACTGTCTGAATCAGTCTCTGAGCCAGAACCAGAGCTAGCATCATCTCCGCTCTCTGCCTCGGATGCCTCCTGAACATCAGCACCTCTGTTCTCGAAACCCGGGCCAGCATCATCATCTCTACTCTCAGACGACTCAAAATGCTGACTCGCAGAAACTATAGATGCGCCCGCGGAGGGGGACCTCGCTGCTACAGTTTGGACTCGCGATTTTTGTTGTCGCGGTTCTTAATCTGAACCAAAGAGTCCAAATCTGGCAAATCGTGTTGAGAAACAGATTTTTGAAAAAAGTAGTGCCAAACATGGACTGCTTTGCCAGATACAGAGTCGCCACCTAAATATTTTTAAAATGGGAAAATTTAGGAAACCCTGACTCGGTGCCGAAGGCCACATGTCCGTCATCACCGGAGTTGTCTCGGCTCGGGAGCTTGGGTACGATCGGGGAAGGTCAGCTATGAGCACCCCCTTCCGCCCGGTCCGAAGACCGGCCTCTACTAACCATGATATCCGATTTTGAAAACAATATGTGTTCTTATTCCAATTATTAGCCTGGAATTACTATGTAATGCGCGCAGCAAACAAGTATAGACTAGATTGCCTAATTTGGAAATAAACATTGCATATCCGTTTGGTTTGAAAATGCTTTGGAATTTGCTACTCACAAGTAGGCTAAAACACGGATTTCAATGAGTTTTTCCAACTCAAACAATCCAACCTTCACCCACAGGCATTCACAATTTAATCTCACATAAGCATTTAGCCGCATGGCAAGCATACTGTCATGTTAACATTCACACGCATGCGAGATGCTAAAGCGAAATACTTACATCGTACTCCGTGCCAAAACAGTAAACTAGTTAGCAAACATGTGTGTCCTAGTTCATGTAAATTGCCTAATGCAACACATACGGATGCAATTAGGTAGGCTCGGTTAACCTAAGCATGGCATATGAAATGCGATAAACTATCACAATATTCAATTTTTGAATTGAAGTACAAATGCAGTTAGCGTGATGTACCGAGCCTAATGCATGCAATACAAATGCATGGATGCACACATGCATAGCATAAGGTATGCTAAATTAAACGTGCCCTAATCTACCATCATAAGCAGGTAAATAAAATGGAAGAAAGACGTGAGGTTGGAAGACATACAACACTACTCACGCACACTTATTAATATTTACCCTCACTCGAGAGGGACCAAATAAATATTACAAATTAATTAACTACGCAAGCTAATTAATAATTACAAATTAATTATTTTAATTAACAAATTAAATTAAGCTAAGAAAAATGAATAAACCGCCTCGGGAAACGCGCCGCCATGCATAGGCTGCCTTTGTTTTCCTTCCTTCACTCCTCTGGAGGCTGTCAAAACCTCAGGACTGCGTCCTTGGCACTGGGGAGTGCCACCAGCAGAGTGGAATTACCAACCGGCAGTGGTGTGTGGCCATCAGCATAAAATGAAGCTGTCGGCAGAGAAATTGTTACCGGTCGGCACCTTACACTGCCGGTCGGCAGAGTGTTCCTGCAGAATCTGCAAATGACAGCAACAGAGGGCAAGGCAAAGCATGGCAGCACAATTCAAGGCATATATGCACCAACCATGTCCCTTTATCATGATAATGACTCAAAGGGGCATGTGCCTCGATTCTCGGACCACCAATCACGCATTTCCATGCATGATGGCCCAAAGAACCAAGTATGCAACTTTGATTTCAAATGCAATGCAACAAATCAAACCAAACAAGGCCCAATTCCTATCATCAAGTCAAGGGAACAAGGCATGCATGCAAGATGCAATGCAACCTAAGCAGCAGCTAAGGATGCAACATGGCATGGCAACTAACTTATGCAAGCATACAAGCAAACATAGGGGCATGCAAATGGATGCAAAGATGGACTTATGCATGAATTAGGCAGCTCTAAATAGGCCTAAAACAGTAGCCAAAATGCTATAATGAGGGACCAAATACATGCACACATGCACCTAATTGAAGGCCAACACTTAAGCACAAATTGAACAACCTCCAAACACATTTGAAAGGGGGAATCATGGACTAATTAGCATGCAACATAAGCATTGAAATCATGCTAAAACATGGTGCCAAACCAAGCAATACATCAAGCCAAATATGCAACAAATGGCCTAAGTGCTCAAAACAAACCAATGGAGCATTGGACTACACTAAGCAAGACCAAACATGGCATGAACTTATTGACCAAAAACAGGGTTTTGGGACATTATTACAAGGCTAAGGATCACTTAGATGGCATCTAAATGACTCAAAAACAAGGCATGCATAAACAAAAACATGGCGCAATTGCTACACAAGCTTATGAAGCATTAAAGAGGCATGCAAGGCAATCAAACAAGCATGGAAATGGGACTGAAATAACATGTGGGGTGACCCCAAATCACCAAATCGATGCAAAGATGTCATGCTACACATGGACATACTCAAGGCTAACAAGCCCAAATACAAAGGAGCTATATCAAGCATGCCAAAATCAACCCAAACACTTATGGACAGACCTAAAACATGTCAAGATAAGCACAAAATCTTCACAAATGTAAGCCTAAAACATGCTAGAACAAAGGCTAACAACCCAAGACATGTTAAGGCAATAATATGGCATTACATGGCAACTATGCTAAGCATGCATGGAGTTCCAAAACCAACTTAAAATTATGTTATATTATGGATATATAAGCATGAAAAACAGCCTAAATATGCTCAACACACACTCAAGCATAGGCTCTCTTTAGAGACCAAACAATAGTAGCATAAGATTAAAACTAAGACTGTGCAGTTATGGAAAAACAGCTGCCGTATATATTGTAAGAACCAATGAGAATCGAAATCAATGGCGTTTGTTCTTTGTTTTCCCATCAAAATATGTAAGTATGTATTGAAAATATTAATCCTTTAGTAGTGACAAATTAATTTGTGTTATTCAACTAACCGATTTTCATGCATTGTAGAGTAACATTGCCCATTGCAATTACTTCATGTTCGTAGATGAAGACTGTGAAAACCCTGACCTCTAGTTTACGTTAATCCATGGTTAAGTAAGCCTAATCAATAATTAAAGTGAAATTCTAAATTTATTGCATGTGTGTGTTGCCTTATTGTGCTTATATCTGTTTAACGTAGAAATATCTATTTCTATTTCTGTTTCATTCTGTGAATTGAAAGTCTTATCGACATCTGACCACGAAATTAACTTGATTCATGTGTTCGTTAGAATTTTCAGAATTTTATGATAGGTTTAATTAAAATTCGAATCGGAACGATTAAATTAGAATAATTGATGTTCATTTGATTAATTGCAATTAAACCTCATTAACTCAAGGCTATATAAGGCATAAGTGACCCTTAGTTACACTTTTACACTCTTATATCCTCATCCTTGATGTCAAAAATGTGTGTGTGTGTGTGTGTGTGTAAGAGAGAAAGAGAGAGAGAGAAAGAGAGAGAGAGAGAGAAGGAATTTGAGATCAAAGCTAGAAGAAGGGAGAATTACTAAAGATAGTTAGAGAATTGAAGAGAACTAAGGAGGATTAGCTTGAACACTCAAGAATTGGTCAATTTGAAGCTCAATTAAGAAGTTTAGGTAAGAACTCCAGCTTTTGATAATGTAATTAAGTCAACCAACTCTTGAATTCAAAAGAAATCCTATAGGAAGGCAAGAATTGAGCTTAAATGGGTGACTTTGGGGGTGTATCATGCATGCATGCATAATTCTCATAATTTGGTAAGTTGATTTTCAATAATTTCCACATTCATCTCCATACTTGAGTTTTGTTCAAGGAACCCAACATGTTTTTGACCTAAACATCTCATTTGCTCATGATTTGGAAACTTGGGGCTCAAATCACTTCATGCATATCATTTTCATGTTAATGTTTTCACAATTCAAGTTTGAATTTGCTCAATTGTCAAGCTTATGGGCTTTGATTTCATGAAATGATCTTTAACTCTCAATGTTTTTCAAGTTTAGACAAGTTTTCTTGAGTTTTGGCCCAAAAGAACATGATTTGTGGTTTCGAATTTGAGTTTTGAAGCTTAAAGGCTGTTCTACAAATTCCAGAATTCGCACTATCTGCTCGAGCAAGGAAAGCGTCGCTCAAGAGTGAAAACCGAGCTCCTAGAAGTTTTACAAAATTTTACAGGTTGCTCAAGCGACCAAAGTGGCCTTTGAGCGAGGACTCTTTTACTCAGTCTTCTGCTCGAGCGACCGTCAAGCGAGAATTTCACACAACCAGTACCTTTGCCAAGTTTGCAGATCGCACGAGCGACAGAAGCTACGCTCGAGCGACCACCCTTATTTTTGACCACCGCTCGCGCGAAGGAAGTTGAGCTCGAGCAAAGACCCCTGTTTTCAGCAACATTTAACTAACTCTTTTAAGTGCATATTTGCATCCTCATGCCACTCCAAGTGTTCTTAGGCACCATTTGGACTCACATAGTCATGAAATAAGCTAAAAACACATGAAGAGAATTGAATTAAAGTGAAATGGTGCTTCAATTGTCCTTTTGTTATGCGTTTTGTTTAGGTGGACGTCTGAGGCTTAGTGACAACACGAACCACTGTGAGTAGTAACTCTGTAAAGTTATGTTTGACTTTAGTTATTTTTTAATGATATAAAAATGATCAGTTTTCTGAAATGCTATGTTTTTATATGAATGAATGATTGTCCAAGTTTATGAAATATATATGTGGCACCCTCAGCATCATATGATATGCGTCCCTTTTATGGGTCATCGGAATGCCTTCATGGCAGTCCCCTTTGTAGGTCATCAGAAACATTTATGTGCATATGAGTCATCGGAATACCTTTTGTCCGTCTCTTTATGAGTCATCAAAGTGCTTTCATGGCAGTCCCTTTGTGGGTCATCAGAAACGTCTCTGTGCACATGAGTCATTGCAATGCCCTTTACAGCCGTCCCTTTATAGGTCATCAAATTTGTTAACGCTAATGGATATTCTACGCACTATGATGAGAAATATATGAACTTTGAACACAAATGTAACTACGTATATGAATTTGTTTCTGCTTTGACGACTGAACATGTATATGAATCCATTTTTGATTAGAAATCTAAATATGCATAAGACTCTGTTTTTGATAAAAATCTATCTCTGATATAAACTCTGATTTCTGACTCTGTGATGGGCATCATTCATTAAATCCCTTTACTCTATTATTATTCACTAGGCACCAGCTCACCATTTGTTATTGTGTATGTAGGTGAGCAGGCACATGACCAGGCCCAGAGATGATGGCCTAAGATTCTATTTTGTCAGCCAGCCATTATGCTTCCAAGGAGGTTCCCTTTTGTGAGCATGTCAGGTCTAAATGGCATATGTTTAAGACCTTGTCTTCTTTGAAGTATGAACAAATTTTCTGTTATGTGTATCTTGGGCTAAGTCCTTTTTGGCTACCTTTGTATTGGATGTGATGTAAGACCTGCATTATGATGTCACGTATATTTGTAAAAGGTATAAAATTTATGTCCCATATATGGCTGCACAGCTTTATGGACTATGTATATTTCGTATATTTGCTTCTGTAGGCCCTAATTATATGTCATTCCACTAAGAGGCCTTTGGTAATCCAAGGATTACCGGTCGATTACGATGCTAAATCTATAGGGGCAGGTTTGGGTCGTGACAAAAATGATGAAGACGTTACGTCCACAATCTGTTCCAATACTAGAGCTTGTGATGGTATTACAGTAGAAGACTTTAACGAGCTAAGGATAAGGTTTGATGACGTGGAAAATGAAAACGATGACTATGGTCGAAGGCTTGAAAGGATGGTAAATAATTTCAAGGCGATGGTGTGTTTTCTATAATTTTGTACTTTATGATGTAACTTATTGTTTGGTTGGCTTCGGGAAAATTTGACTAATGTTATTATGGATTTTATGAAACTTAACGGATGTATTGTCAGCGTTTGTAGCATTTTGGCTTTGATGAATAGATGCAATGATTTTAGATGGTCATCATGAATGGAAATTTGATGAATGTAGTTATGGATTTGATTATTATAGATGCAATGATGGTGTTTTGGTTTTCATGAATGGAAATTTGATGAATGTATTTATGGATTTGATGATTATAGATGCAATGATTTTAGATGATTTTCATGAATGGAAATTTGATGAATGTAGTTATGGATTTGATGATTATAGAACTTGAAAATTATAGCATTTTGGTCTTGTTTGCATCAATCTTACCATGATTTGGTTTGGGTGTAGAGATAGTATTTGATGATGTTAGAGCTCAAAACTCCTATACCAACTGTTCAACTAGCAAATTGCTACCTGGGATTCTAGCATTTGATTGGGTATCCAGATTTGTAAGGAAAAATGTAAAAAAGATCTGATCAACACAAGCACCTCTTGAAGAACCAATCACTCACAAGTTATCTACACAAAGCACAAAGTCTCCATTACCATAGGCCTAGGTTTAACTCTACAAATATCAAAAACAAGAAAATATTACTCAAAACACAACCAATAGTTCACTGCTTATAATAACATAACTGCTAGTGCCAAGATTGGAATTTATGCTTTATACTAACTTTTATGCTTGAGAATACACCTGTAGGTCTTCAAAAAATAAGACACCAATTTGGCATAATTTTTCTTACAAATGAAAATGCTGTGTCCCTTTTCTTTCACACAAAAGAAAATCTAAAAATTTCAACACACACATTGGTGCATTTATTCCTTTTGAAACAATCACTCAGAAGAAAATGAAGTACTACATCCTTCCATGTAGTAGTGACACTAACAAGCCATACAAAGGATAACATCAAGTGTAAATACAAGCCATTAACATTAACAAAATGTGGAACATTTCTAGTGTAAATACAAACCATAACACACATATTTTAGCCCAATTTCAGTAACTACAGCAACAACATCACTTTCCAACAGCAACAACAACATGAACAATTTCAGCATAAGTTTGCTTCACAGTTTCAGCTGCTATGACTTCTATTTCCAGTGCATTCCACCTCTTTCTACCTGTCGATAGCCTAAAATGGAAAAAGATAGAATTTTCCAGAATTTTCAACAACTAAATGAATGAGCTAAACATAATTTTCAGCAACTAAAAAGACAGAATTTTCAGCATGTACCAAGACAGAATCTTCAGCAAGTTAAAATTAAAAAGACAGCAACAAATTCAGCAACTAAATACATGCTTTAAACAAAATTTTCAGCAAGTAAATACATGTTCCAAATAGAATTTTTAGCAACTAAAAAGCCAGAATTTTCTGCCACTAAAAATTAAAAAGACAACAAAGACAAACCTGACTACACATTGGACTATTTGATTCTTGAGAATATCGAAACCCAATGTTATATCCACATGAACCTTGAAGTAGTGACTAGAATGTTGATTAAGTAGAATAATGTTGAGGCATTGAATTTGGCAAAGAATTTGGTACTACATACATCTCCCACAAATTGTTTGCCTACAACAATGTCATATATTAGGCATCGCAGTCATGGTTTAAGTCGCATATTATATCCACACAAAAAATACAATGTTAAACTAACACTCACATGATATGTAGGATACATCCATGGCGGAGGAATAGAATTACCACCCATGGCCAAAGATGGAGGGAGAGGATGAAGAGGAAGAAAAGGTTGAAGAGGAGGAACATGTTGATGAACCTAGATATCTCCTCCAACAGATAATGGAGAAGGTGTAACTGTTGGACTTGCAATAGATTTTTACGAAGCCAAGCTATTAGCATGGGATTTTTTTTTCGAGTTCGCTACCAACGCCGCTTCGAATTCACCTTTTACCCTCATTTTTCCCTTACTAGTTGCCACCTTTTTCTTCAATTCTTTTGGTTGCCCAACATGATTCACATCTTCGCAATCCACTTCAAAGCTTTGGGTTGCATCATCATTACTTACTTCATTTTCAACACCAAAATGTGCACTTAACTTGCGTTCAACATTTGTACCTAATGTAGCAAGTTGTGCAATAGAAAGCTCATAAGTTTCTTCAGTTTCTGTAGCTCTACATGCTATTGCTTTAAATGTGGTCATCAATGTCTTATACCGTGAGGCTTGTTGGAATTTCACATCTACTTGAATGTCATTCCCCGTAATGTCCTTCACAGTTTTGGCTCTTGCTTGTTTCGTCCACCTCTTTAGAATGTATTGTGGAGGAACCTCTTTCATCTTCAATGTGTCTTTAATAACCTTCAATGAGTGACAACACAAAATTCCTTCCCTTTCAAACTTTATACAATTACCACCCAAAGAGTCATCCCTCTCCATCTTCACTTTCCTTGCATGATTGCTACCAACATCAACAACTGTGTAAATGGTACTAGCCTCACCATATTCAATTACTTCTATGTCCGATTCAATGGATCGAAAGTACTAATTTTGAAATTCCTCAACAAAAAAAAAAAACATTGTGTACACATTACCCATTTGAATTAACATTCTTATTGTCGCTTTCACCTTTGGCAACCTTTGGCACAAAGCATATCCTGCTTTTAACTCCTTGTATCGCTTCTCATAAAGTACCCTTTCGAAATGCATGAAGAATTCATTTAAATTGAAATCAGAATGAATGTAATCCTTCAAAAAAGCATTAAAAGATTCAGTAAGTTGTGTAGTACTCATTCTCATAGCCCATGTTGATCTAACATATGGCGAACCCCATTTTTCTTTCACCGCAAAAGTCAATTTCAACCAATGATTATCATGCGCATCATATTTATCAAGCATTTTCGTCCACTCTAACTTCCATTGATTTTCATCTTTAATGTCAAACAGGAATTTATTTAGTACACCATTTACCCCCTTATCTTGGAATAGATAATTAACATGTTTTAATACATTTTGCATCAAATGCCAAGTACACAATTGGTGACTCGTGTCAGGCATAACAATGGGTATGGCTTTAGCCATTGCAGCATCTTGATCGGTGAACAAAGTTTTTAGTACCTTTCTTGACATAGCCTCTAGAAAATTTTGAAACAACCATACAAACGATTCGGCGGTCTCATCATACAACAAGGCTGCATCAAATATAACTATTTCCCTATGACGGTTGAATCCCACAAAAGATGAAAAGGGTCTATGTTCATCGTTTAACTTGTAAGTCGTATCAAATGTGACAACATCACCAAATTGGGCATAATCCATGATAATTTGTGCATCGGTCTAAAACATATTCGTTACTTGCTCCTCATTATCTAACTAAAAAGAATAAAAAAAAGAGAGAAGATTTTGCATAGATTTTTCTTTAAAGTATTGCAACACATTGCCTACTTCCCCGTATGCCAAACTTTGTTGTCTTTTGGTTCTCAAATGATTTTTTTGATCTAATTTCATAAACCCAAGACATTGCCTCCCACCAACTTCTCTACCCATGAATTCAAAAGACTGGCCTAAACGAAGACCAGATTGTGTCGCCAAATCTAACTCAATTGCTTGGGTAGCCGATATCTTTCTTTGTGACGGCAACATGTGGGCACACTCGGGGTGATACAAGATCGTGGTTATGTTTTTCTTTGAAATCAGTTACAACAAATTTCCCAATACCCTCATCTAATTTAACATAAAGTCGAGCCTTACAACCAGTCCTAGTTTTAGCTCTAGGGTTTTTTGCCTATGGGTTTCGCTTGTCAACCATCGAAAATCCCTCCTTATTGCAAACCAAAAGTCTACAAATAAGTTGGTTAATGAACTTGTTCTTCCTACAATAATCACTTATGCTAAACCCCATTCTTCCTCCATATGCATTATAAAAATCATACGCACATTGTTCTGAATCAAATGTTATTCCCTGTTTTGGCTTCCAAGCACAATCATTCTCAACTTCCATTTCCATATCAAAATGAAACTGAAAAGCCATATAAATCAGTTTAATTATTTTAACACCAAGAACAAATAGGAAAAATAAACACTGTTAATGTTAAATTATTTTGGCACTAAGAACATAGACACTATTAATGTTTATGAATCAGTTTCATTATCAAGTTTAATTAATGTTTAAGATCAAATCAGTTTACTTAATGTTAATTGTGGGTGTTGATTTTCGACCACACAACCAAACGGGGAACTCAGCTGGATAGCACTGGCAGAATAGATTAGCCCGAACAACCTATCACAAAAAGGTAAGAATCCGGCGGTGATTCGTCTACCCGGGGGCACTTCGACGATCAAGTTAGTAGTCAAATATCTCTCAAAAGATAGCAAATTGTGCTTAACTCACAAGAAAACACTTATTGCTCACAGTATATCACACATACCTCAGAACCACGGGGGTGCCCTGCTTTTATAGCCAGCACTGACCTGATCCCTGTAGAAGCCTTACTTCAATGGACTCAGGTTCAATGCCTATCCTGGACCCCAGTTAGATAGGGATAAACTCCCTCAGAGCTTTACTCCCTTAGAGCTTTACTCCCTTAGAGCTTTATTTTTATCCAGACTAAGATCCTCCCCGGTTCTAGGACTCTTGTCCCTTATCCGCTCATCCCAAATTCCGATATCTTCGCAGATAACCTTGGCCTAGCCGAGATCACCTCGGCGTCAGAACTAGGCCACGTTGTACCTCGGCTAACACTTTGGCGTCACCTTGGCCACGTGCTGTCCCTCACAAAGTACGTCTCCACATTAATGTTACAAACTGAAAACTCCATGAATAGTTTCCACACTATTAGCTCTAAATGTCTTTATCAAGTCATTAAATAATATTATCTATATTATTCTGACACCTCCAAATCCCAAAGAATTTGCAACAGACTAGGAACTTCAAAAATAATGGGAAAAAACCGACACTATTGACTTGGATTCATATTATTCAATCAAACACTTGATTAGGTCATAGACAATCATATTATTCAATCAAATCTTCCAAATATATAAATAGTTGGTTCAATCTAGTATGCAGTGGACAAATCAAACCCACTTCATAAAATTTCAAAGATATTTCTCACAGATATTTTAGAGTTATTTCATAAAATTTCAGAGTTATTTCACAAATTAAACCCAAATATTTTTGGTAATCTTCTTTAATAATTATAATTATTTCAGAACTCTTGATCGGTGAACAAAGAAGATTACCAAAGCTATTTCATAAAATTTCAAAGCTATTTCACCATCATGATAGCCAAAAATCAGAATATAATACCATTTTATAAAATTTATGAGCTATATTTAGACTTTTAATCTAATATTTATGGTATATAGCTAATACCGAAATCTGAATATAATCTAATACCATTTTATTTAATCTAAATCAGATTTTTATATAATACCATTACCATTCCAAATATCTAAATATAGCTCTGAAAAGAAATCATTTTATAAAATTATCATATTTCTAGATGAAGATTACCAAAATCAAATGTTCAGGCAGATTCACTCACTCCGAGAGATTATGAAATCTGAGAACTTCTCGCCATTGTCGGGAGTGGGTCACCGGTGAAGGTGAGTCGCCGATAAGGTTGGGTCGCCGATGTGGGTGAGTTCGGTGGAGGACAAGCGGGCTAAGTGAGAGTAGTGACAGTCAGTGTATACTCTATAAGCTATGTAATGATTTGGGTGGGAATATGAAAGTTTCAATTTCATATATATATATATATATATATTTTATAACCGTTGCATCTGCAACGATTGATCTCAGCCGTTGCAAGTAAGAAATGAAGGATGATACTCAAGAAGGGGATCCAAACTCACTACCTATTGCTTATTGCCCTATCATCTTCATGAATGTAAATTGTTTAAAAGTAGTATAAATTTTAAAAAAAAATTATATGGAATACCGTAGGTGTTTGACATGTACTTACAAAAGTATACTTTTTTAACATACATACATTTATTTGTATCACATCAATTAATATCTATCAATATTTTCTCTTTACTTTTCTACATTTTTTTCTATAAAAAATTAAAAAGTACACTTATTTAGAACATCCCAAACCACTCCACAATAAAATATGAAACTATATAATTTTTTTTGTATTTTGTAATATTTGTTATATTAGTGTATTAATAAGCTTCAAAAATTATAATAAATTTTTAAATATATATTTACAATTTCAAATATAAAGAAAAATTTACATTATCTTCCACAATTTATAAAGACAAATTTCAAATACAAATTTATGAATTTCAACAACTTTAAAATTACGTTGTAAGTACTGAAAAATTACATATATAAATTTTCATAAATGCATATCAGAAAATTTATTGTCACAAAATTTCGTAACAATAACACAAACATGCATAACATGGTGAGAAATTGACGTAAAAAACTGTCCCAAAATTTTATATTTGATGTTGTAAAAGTTTGTAGGATGATTACAATTTTTTTTTTAATGCCAATTTGTGGACGAAATTACGTATTTTATGATTAATATTACAAAATTTTATTATAAGATCACACATTTAATGGTAGGATATACACCCATAAATAGGCACATACCAAATTAAGTTTTGATGATGTGACATTTTTTTTTTATTGTTGAATATATCCTTTGCAACTCTCTCTCTCTCTCAACCTATGCCTCTGTTTAGGAAGATAGGTTTTGGACTTTTTTTAGCTAAAATAGTCACAAAAAAATAAAATAGGCTTTTTAGGTCAATAAGACAAAATATTACATCCAACTCATAATCATTACATTTTTTCTTTTACAAAAGTCAAAAACACCAAAAAAAGACAGGCCAAAAAGCCAGGCCCACTTCCCAAACGAATCCTATGGAGAGAAATTTGAATTTGTAAACCACATATCTAATTTCAAAACATACTTTTGAAATCACTTTTTTAAAAAATAACTCAAAAAAATGAAACCAAACTTGATGAATTTTTTTTTAGGGAGAATTGCTTACAAATATGAGGGTATTTTTGATGTGACAATTTTTTTTTATTATTTATTGTTGAATATATCCTTTGCAGCCCTCTCTCTCCACCAATGGAGGGAAATTTGAATTTGTAATAGTGAATTTTTTAAAAAACCAAACACATCTATTTTCAAAACATATTTTTCAAATCACTTTTCTAAAAAATAACTCAAAAAAATGAAACCAAACATATTGAATTTTTTTAGGAAGAATTGCTTGTCAGTGGGACAAGTAAAAAAAATTACCATAGCATTGAGGGTTCAAGTTGCTATGTGGTGAAATTCAAGTGAAAACTTATGGAAATGTAAGTCTCACGTACATCTCCCTATATTTGTGTGTGGGGATATATTTTCTGAGTACCAACACGTGGCATGGTGACGCCGATGTGTCAGCCGACGTGCCACGTGTCGTGGTAGTTATGCCGAGGTTATCATGGATAGGCCGAGGTTGACTCCGAAGATATCGGAATCCGAGATAAGCGGATAAGGGACAAGAGTCCTAGAATGAAGAGGGAACTCAACTTGGATATGGACAAGAGTCCTAGAGAAAAGAGAAGACTTCTGCTAAGATAAGGATAAAGCTCTTAGGGAGTTTATCTTTATCTTTTGAGGAATCCAAAGTAAGTACTAAATTGGAGTCCATAGAAGTCAGGCTTCTAGTGGGACTAGGAGCAAGACACAAGGAGAGGAGGCTAACCTCTCCAAATTTGGACTTCAAAATATAATTTTCACCATTGAAAATACTCTAAAATTTAGTGTTCAAAAGCCCAAAAAAAGATGGTTTGAAAGTGGGAAACAAAGGTGGAAAGGCCTTACAAACAAGGAATAAAGAAGGGTGAAC